AAGTTATCAAAATCTGTGGGATACAGCAAAAGCATTCCTGAGAGGAAAACTAATAGCATTAAATGCTCATATCCAAAAGACAGGAAGCTCACAAATCAACAAGCCAATAAACCATCTCAAGGAACTGGAAAAGGAAGAGCAAATCAATCCTAAACCTAGCAGCAGAAAAAAATATTGAAGCTCACAGCAGAACTAAATACAATTGAGAACAAAATAATATACTGAAGATAAATAAAACCAAAAGTTGGTTTTTCGAAAAGATAAACAAAATTGACAGCCCTCTTGCTAGTTTGACAAGAACTAGAAAGGAAAGGACTCTAATAAGCTCAATTAGAAATTAAAAAGAAGAGGTCACAACAGACATCACAGAAATACAAAACATTACCTTTGAATATTATAAAAATCTATATGCACCAAAACTACAAAACATGGAGGGAATGGAAAAATTCTTAGAGACACACAATCACTCTAGGTCCAATCAGGAAGAAATAGAATTCCTGAACAGACCAGTATCAAGCACAGAAATTGAAGCAGCAATTTAAAAATCTTCCAATCAAAAAATGTCCTAGACCAGATGGGTTCACACCTGAATTCTACCAAACCTACAAAGAAGAACCCATACCTGTACTGCAGAAATTATTCTACAACATTGAGAAGGATGGTATCCTCCCCAACTCATTCTACAAAGCTAAAATCACGTTGATACCAAAGCCGGGAAAGGACACAACAAAAAAAGAAAACTATAGACCAATATCCCTCATGAATATAGATGCAAAAATCCTCAACAAAATCTTAGCAAACCAAATTAAACAGCACATCAAAAAAATAATTAATCATGACCAGATGGTCAGAGATGCAAGGATGATTCAATATAAGCAAATCTACATTTGCAACTCACCACATACATAAAAGCAAGAACAAAGATCATATGATTCTCTCAACAGATGCAGAAAATGCATTTCACAAAATTCAGCACACTTTTATGATAAAAACTCTTAAAGTTTGCCTACTATCTCCACCTCTATTAAACATAGTGCTGGAAGTCCTTGCCAGAGCAAATAAAAAGAGAGGGGAATTAAAGGTTTCCAAATGGGGGCAGAAGAGGTCAAACTCTCTCTTTGCTGATAATATATTATATCTAGAAAATACCAAAGATTCAACGAAGAAACTCCTGGAATTGATAACTGAATTCAGTAAAGTCTCAGGATACAAAATCAATAGCATTCATATATGCAAATAACAGTCAAGCCGAAAATCAAATCAAAGATGAAACACCTTTCACAATAGCATCAAAGAAAATTAAATATTTAGGAGTATATTTAATGAAGGAGGTGAGAGACCTATATAGGGAGAAGAAACACTGAGAAAAGAAATTGCAGATGTAAACAGATGGAAAACCCTACCATGCTCACGGATTGGGAAAATCAATATTGTTAAAATGTCCATACTATCTAAAGTGATCTACAGAATTAATGCAATCCCTATTAAAATATCATCATCATTCTTTACAGATCTAGAAAAAATAATTCTATGCTTCATATGGAACCAGAGAAGACCTTGTATGGCCAAAGCAATCTTAAGCAAAAAGAACAAACTGGGAGACATTAGTCTACCAGACTTCAAACTTTATTACGAGGCTATAGTAACCAAGACAGCATGGTACTGGCAAAAGAACAGAGATATAGACCTTTGGAACAGGACTGAGAATGGAGATATAAAACCCTTCTCATATTGTAATCTAATCTTTGACAAAGCAGACAAAAAAATACACTGGGGAAAAGAATCTCTGTTGGGAGCTGTCCCGAACACGGGAGAGTTAAAGTGCGGTTGCTGCCCGGAACGCTGGGGTCCTTGAGACATAGCACCTGGCGCCTTAACTCAGAGCTCTGACATTCTTGGCCTTTCTTCTAGCTCACGGAGGGTGCTGGAGATAGCAGTAGCAGTTATAGAAGGTCACTGAAGTAATCCTGTGCACACAGCCCTCGTAGCTTATACCCCCCCTGAGGCCCTGCACACTCCTTTCCCAGAATTGTTAATTACGCTTGGGTGCTCCTTTCCTTGAACTGTCTGAGTGATCATAGTTGAGTATTTGTAGCCTTTTTGATATCAGAAAAAAGTTAAGTTGTAGATTAAAAAAATGCTTAAGCGAGGGAAAGGGCTATCAAAGTGACGTAAGGTTGAAACAAGAACTGTTTTGTTTTCTGGTTTAATGAAGACATGCACCACCTATTCCAATGCATTTTGCTTCTCCTTTGTTCTTATCTGTATAAATATAGCAATTTATCTGTATAAATATAGCCTCAATAAACGAGGCGCGGCAGTCACCAAGGACTCTGTCCTCCCATCCCCATCTTTTTGTTGTCTCTTCATTTCTCAGCCTCGCCCCCTAACTCCAGGTGCCGCACTGGTGCTGGGAAAACTGAATAATCACACATAGAAGACTGAAACAGGATCCACACCTCTCACCTCTCACAAAAATCAACTCACAATGGATAACAGACTTAAACCTAAGGCATGAAACCTTAAGAATTCTAAAGGAAATGCTGGGAAAACTTTATAGACATTGGCTTAAGCAAAGAATTTATGAAGACCCCCAAAGCAATCACAGCAACAACAAAAATAAATAAATGGGACATGATCAAATTAAAAAGCTTCTGCACAGCCAAAGACGTTATCATTAGAGTGAACGGACAACCTATAGAATGGGAGAAAATACTTGCATGCTACACATCCGATAAAGGGCCAATATGAGGAATCAATAGAACTTAAGAAAATTAACAAGAAAAAATAGAAGAACCCCATCAATAAATGGGAAAAGGACATGAACTGAAACTTTCAAAAGAAGACAGAATAATGGCCAGCAAACATAAAAAAGTGCTCACAATCTCTACTCATCAGGGAAATGCAAATCCAAGCCACAGTGAAATATCACCTAACTCCAGTAAGAATTGCCTTTGTCAAAAAGTCCCAAAACAACCAATGCTGCTGTGGATATGGAGAGACAGAAACACTCTTATACTGCTGGTAGGACTGCAAATTAGTACAACCCCTGTGGAAAATAATTTGGAGATATCTCAAAAAATTAAAAATAGAAATACCATTTGATCCAGCAATCCCACTACTAGGCATCTAGTCAAGGAAAAAAAGACATTCTATAATAAAGACATCTGCACTCGAATGTTTATGGCAGCACAATTCACAAATGCAAAGATGTGGAAACAACCCAAATGCCCATCAATACATGAGTGGATTAATAAAATGTGGCATATGTATACCATGGGATACTACTCAATTACAAAAAACAACGGTGACCTAGCACCTCTTATATTATCCGGGATACAGCTGGAGCCTGTCTTTGAAGGAAAGTATCACAAGAAAGGAAAAACAAGCACCCCATGCAGTCACCATCAAATTGGTACTAACTGACCAACACTAAGGTGCTCACATGGTAGTAACATTCATGGAGTGCTGGTCAGGTGGGAGGGAGAGTCATGGGGGTGGGTAAACTCACAACTAATGTGTGCGGAGCACACTGTATGGGGGAAGGGCAGGCTTATAGCTCTGGCTTGGGTAAGGCAAAGGCATTCAAAATGTTTGTACTCCCATAATATTCTGAAATTTTAAAAAAAGTGAGCAAGTCAATGAAACTGCAAACAGGAGAATAGGTACTCTCAAAATTATAAGGACATTTTTAGAGGATTTGCAAAGGAAATTAAACATTAACATAAAAATATATAAAACAATGATTTTTATACAGGTATGTACATATATGTATGTGTGTATGTATATGTGTGGGTGTGTATATACATATTCATATGACAGGTCATTGTAGTTTCAATCAGTGGATAAATGCAATGTGAAAGGATTTGTAACAAAATGCGGGTCACAATTTATAGGGTGTTTTTCAACTTGCCTTCATGAGACAAAAGGAGTTGAGACCTGGCAATGTGCCTTGGTTTTGAATGTGAAATGATAAGATTAGCCAATAAACTCTGGGAAATGTTAAAAAAAAAAAACATATTTACTAAGTAAGGTTAGATTATTTTTAAATATATAGAAAAGTCACTTTTAGACTTATGGTCAGATTGGACTTTTCTAATGCAGCAAGTAAGGCTACTGTATACGTGGTATCTGTATTTTCATTCCAGAGGCCACCTGAAACCAAGCCATTTGAAGTGGCAATAGTAGCACTTTCATTTATTTGTTTTGCTTCTATCAAATTATTACCATGTAGTAGGACACACATTTTTATTCCCTTGAAAATTTTTTCATTTGGAATATTCTGGTGATGGAAAAGTATTAACCAATGAAAGTAAGGATATTTTTTTAAACTAGGATAATTACAATCCTATAAAGACTCACAGCAAGCATTTGGCTATCCTTTTAATACAATTTTATTTATAAACTAGAGAAAGACTTTGATGAATAATTTTAGAAGATCTGTAAAGCCTTTCATTTTATAGTATATTTATAATAAAAATTTAGACCACATACCCTCTTTGCCAAGAGATAGGAAGTAAATTTATTAAGTCATTGAAATAATGGAATTTAAACTGTATCATTAAATTGTACTCAAGCCATGATTATCACTTCTCCCTAATATTCAAAATGGGCTTTACTTAACATAGTTAACTATGTCGCTAGGAATACCAGAATCCTATTCAGAGTTACCATGTATTCCTTTCAGGAAAATAATCTTAATTTCAGCTACTGAAATGCTTAGCACTAAGAAGACTGCAAATTTTCACATATGGTCTTTTGAAGAATTATTTGCCAAAGAACTTTGGAGAATATCTATCTCAAAAAGATCAATACTGGGGTATATTAACACAGGATTTGTATGTAGCCTGTGAATTAAATTTCCTAAAGTGAATATTTGCACCTGGATTTTATCATAAAACGAGTAACAGAAGAAACCAAACCCTCCAGTTTCTAGTTGAAATGCCTTTTTGTTTGCCAATGTCTGCTTTTCATTTAATTGTCCTGACATTACACAGTACCTCACAGGTTTCCTTTCTCGAAGCAAGTCTTCCAGGCTCCTTTCACAGTGCTCAGCCACCACCACCAGTCTTTCTGCATAAAACAAAGCAAATCCACTTTTTATCAACAAAACATTTCAATAAGAAAATAATACAACCCACTAAAGATACTAACATGTAGCACAAATAAAAATATTTTAAAAGAGCTTTTCGAACCCTATAAACTACATCATTAACAAGTATATAGAATACTAGGGTAAACATCTAATATATTAAATAACAATTCTTTTTCATCTTTTTTTTTCTCTAGTTTCTCTCATGTGCATCAGGAAAAACAGATGGAAAGGCTGACCATGGGAAAAAAGAAGTGATTCTTCTGATGCAGATTGGAAGAAATAAAAGACTAAATGAAGATATAAAGAAATTTTGAAGGGAAGAGGAAATTGGGGAGCTAAGTACAGATTGATTTGACAGTCTGGTTCAAACACAAGATCTTTGAAATTGTATTCAGAAACTTGAGAAAATCAGAAATGTTCTGAATCATAACTATGGAAAAGAATAGGAAATTGACTTAGCATTATAGTTGACCCTTGAACAATGAAGTGGTTAGGGACCTCAAAGGAGAAAATAGAACATAATAAAATATGATAAAAGCTATGTAAAGGAAAATAAAAATCTCAGGACCACCCCCTAACTCCTTATGCAAAAGAGAAGGTCAAGCCTGGAGGCTGAATCATGTAACACCCCCTTTTCAAATGAACAGCTATTAAATATTACTAACATGCATTAGCTAGATGCCCAAGCAAATGTAAAAGGCTTCAGGCATCTTTAAGGACTAACCCCACAGACCATTTATAATGAAATTCTTTGCTGGCCTCCCATAAATAAGAACATGCAAATTGTAATATTAGGTATGCAGGCTAAGTCTAGCTCCTAAAAGTAAAGTCTGCTTCATGCCACAAGAACAATGTTGATGACAAGTTATCTTCCCAGCAGCAGAACACAAACAATACATGATCAAGCATTCTTCTACCTACTTGGAACATTGACATAATTGATTCTTCCTTTACTCCTTTTTTCTCTTCAAACATTTACCTTATAGAAAATGTAGATTTCCTGGGCACTAAGTAAAATCTGCAAGACTGTGACCATTTGCCTCACTTCCCACTCCCTCCTCCTTTTTCTTTCTGTATGTTCTCTCCTTTTAAATAATGAATTCCCAAATCATTCTTTGGAGAGCACAGTTCACAGATACTTCTGTGATTTGTGCTTTTCCCAGTATGTCCTCAAACATTGGCTTCATAAACCTCCATTGGTGGAGATCTTTGCCTCAGTTGCTTATTTTGGGTGGTCAACTATAAAAGAATCTAGGAAAGGGATCTAGTCAGATTGCAGGGAATGAGGCACAGCATCATCCAGGAGAGAAAATAGTATAGTATAAAAAATAGTAGTAAATAGTAGAAAATAGTAAAGCAGGTGTGTGGAAGGGCCATGGCATAATCAGAAAAACTCAAGCAACTCAGCTTAGCTGGAGTGAAGGGTTAAAGTGGTCAAAGCAAAAGCAATCCTTCTAAAGAAAACAGCAGGAACTAGATCACAAAGGATCTTGCATGTAACAACCTGGTAGGGAGTTTGAATTTTACCTGGCAGATTTGCAAATAAAGGGGCAAGTGTGCAACAAAAAGAGATGGAGAAAAAGAGGTGAGGGGGGAGGGGACTAGGCATACACATACTGATTTCTTTATACATTCACTGTATGCAGTATTTATAACTTAATCAGGGTAACAACAGAGAACACAAAATAGAAAAAAAAAAACAAAAAAACAACTCACCATGCTTTCCCCTAGAAATATCCACATACTGGCACAGTCTGGGATGGGTGATCGTCTTGAGGATTTGAAAGCGCCCTAAGATTTTGATGGAATTTGGTGTGAGAGGAAGCCCATTGCTCCCACAAACATCATGAGGCAGAGCCGAGGCAAAGAACGTAAAGGCACCCATGTCAGCATCCTTCAACGGAAACATTTTTGGAGTCCTAGTTCTTCCAAGACGACTTGGAAAAAGAGAGAATTTTATGAGACTGACAAAACGTTAAGTCAGTGTTTTCTCACATTAAACATGACTAACAATAGACAACTAGGAGGAAAATGACAATATGAACACTTCATAGCAAAAATTTCACAGTTACAAAATTCTGGCCAGGCACGGTAGCTCACGCCTATAATCCTAGCACTCTGGGAAGCTGAAGTGGGAGGGTCACTTGAGGCCAGGAGTTGGACACCAGCCTGGGCAACATAGCAAGACTACAGAATATATGTATATATATATATAGTATATATTATATATAATATATATATATATATTCTAAGCTAGTATCAACTAAAAAACACCCAAACATAAATTTATAATGTAATTCTAAACCAAATTCAAAGATTTTCAATGTCATAAAAAGGAGAAGGCAGAACATTCTACCTTCAATCATGCCTGACAGTTTTAAGAATGGAGGATTAAGTCACCATAGTGTCTGCAGAAGTTTGGGGGAGGAGTAGAGGAAGTTTGTTACTGCATCTTTATATCAATAAGGCTCTTCACTTTACCTGAAGATTGAATGACCCACATACTATCCAAGAACCTTTCCTTCTCAGTGGGGGAAGTAATGAAACTCTGATCAGGGACTTTCTTAACAGTAAAAATTAAATTAGATAACAGAAGTGTCTATCATATCAATTTTCATGCTAGGTGTTTTATACCAAGATCTGCTTTAATTCCCTCAACAATCTTGATAGATGTTATTGCCTCCAATTTAGAGATACTTGTTCCATGTGTATAGCATGAGAGGTCCTATTTGGATTGACTCCAAAATAAATGGTGCCTCCAGAGTTGTGTAAAAGAGCAGCATGGAGATTAAGAAACTTGCTCCAAATCAATCTGAATTACATTAAGGCAATCATAACAAAAAATGTCTCTTGACACAAAATCTCTTACCCATGTATCTCACTAAAAAGACATTCCATTGGTCAAGCACTGCATTTTTCCCTTCTCAGCTTTCTTAATAAATATGCTGGAATTCCAGTTCAATAGACCACTTTTCTTATGTCTATCCAGAAACCTCATTAGAATAAAAAGTTTTCAAATGTTAATAAACATTTAAAAAGGAAGAGAAAAGGGCCATGAGATAATGAAAGATTCCCAGAAACTCTTACAAAGCAAAATGCACATGGAAGAGGTTTGTCACAAGAAACAGGAAGAATGAAGCTACAACCTGTAATGACAGTCAAGAGGTTTGCTTGGCTTCTTCAGACTCAGAGGCTTCAGACTTAGAGAAGGCAGGAACGGTGGTGAAGAGCAGTCACAGAGGGTTTGAAACCAAAAGGGTGATTTGAGGTGTTGAAGAATTAGAAGCATCAACTCTGCCACCAGCCCCACAACATGGGTAGTTATTTACCCTCCATGTAAAAGAAGACAAGATTCCCTCCCAAAGAAACTGAACAAACTGAGAATTACAGTAGCTATGGGCACTGGTGAGAAAAGCAAACTCCTCTTAATTCTATTATTTGTAGGACCACAGCTAAGATCTGCTGTCCTCCAGCCATACATACTAAAACAAAACGTGCCAGTCAACAAGCCTGTCCATACACACAGAACACTCAGACAGCCTTCCTCAACTCTTAAAAAAGTGTCTGGGAATCATCAGATAGTTTAGGAAAGACTACAGCACAAACAGCAAAAAATACAATGAGCTCCCAAAAATCTAGCTTTGGAGGCAACTGAAATGACTTATGAAAAAACAAAACAAAACCCAACTCCAATATATCTACAGAGATCTGAGAAGATATTGCATCCATTGTATAACAGGTTATAGAAAAACATATGACACAAAAAAGTGATGGGAAATGGCCAATAAATACGAGACGATAAACAACCTCATTAATAATCAAGAAATTACTAAAAACAGGCCGGGTGTGGTGGTTCACACCTGTAATCCTAGTGCTTTGGGAGGCAGAGGCAGGAGGATTGCCTGAGCTCAGGAGTTCAAGACCAGCCTGAGCAAGAGCGAGGCCCCATTTCTACTATAAATAGAAATAAATTAGCCAAACAACTAAAAATAGAAAACATTAGCTGGGCTCGGTGGCACGTGCCTGTAGTCCCAGCTACCTGGGAGGCTGAGACAGGAGGATTGCTTGAGCCCAGGAGATTGAGGTTGCTGTGAGCTAGGCTGACACCATGGCACTCTAAACCAGGCAACAGAGTGAGACTCTGTCAAAAAAACAAACAAAAATTACTAAAATCACATGGCAATTTACATCTACCAGATAGTAAAAATTAAGAAACCTGGTAATGCATACTAGGAGGATGTGGAAAACTAGGACCTCTAATTTACTGTAAGTGGGAGTGTAAGTTGGTACACTCACTTCAGAAAACAGTTTGACACTATCTTGTTATCACATTCCTGCATAAAACACTACGCACACATAGTGGGATTGGTACAAGAAAGATCATGGCAGTACTGCTTCTAATATTTCCACACTGGAGATAATGCAAGTACCCAGTGGCGGATGAATGGCTAAATAAATTGTGGTACATCCACCTGATGGAAGAGCGTACAGGGTGGCAAATGATAGGAAATTTAGCAGCACAAATGAATCTGAGAAATATAATGATGAATAAGAGAAAAAGACACACAAAAGTTATGCCAAGTTTCATAAAATCTAAAAATAAGAAAAGTAAAATAAATAATTCTGGAATACTTACATATATGGTAAGAATATATTCAGTAAGTAAGGAAATGGGGGAAAAAACCCTCAGAGTAGTGTCACCCACTGACTGTAACGAAGGGTTGAAATTAGGGAAGAAATCTACAAGAAGCTTTAAAATCTTGATTGCTAAATCAAGTGGAAGTATTGGAAAACAAAGTTTTCGGACAATTGCTTAGAACAGGGGTCCTCAAACTATGGCCCACAGGCCACATGCGGCCCACTGAGGACATTTATCCGCCCCACTGGGTGTTTTTGCCCCCGCTGCCTGTCCTGCTTAGCAGCTGGCTCATCCTGGGCCCACAGTGCACATGTGTGGAATGTGCACCGCATTCTCCAACTCCCCTTCTTCTCTCTGTCTCTCGACTCCTCCTTTCAGTCTCGGGTGTGATCTGACAAGTCACGAGCTTACCTGTGCAGAGCCTGCTACTGCCTGAGGACCGAGGTAAGAACAAGTTAGGATTTTTTTTTTGAAGTTAGGAGGTCTATTTTTTTTTTTATTTTTTTAATTTTGCAGTCAGTAGGGCCATTTTTTTGCAGTTAAGGGTGGTCTTTTTTTCTGAAGTTAGGAGGTCGTTTTTTTTGCAGATAAGGGGTGCCTTTTTTTTTAAGTTAGTAGAGTCTTTTTTTTAAAGTTGGTTAGTTGGTTGGGGGTGGTTTCTAGGGGGGGTTGCATCACAGTGATAACGCAAATAGCGCTCAGTGCTAATACAAATTGTCAGTGCTCAGAGGTAATGCAAATAGTGCTCAGAGGTAATGTTAATTGTAAGTACTCAGTGTTAATGCAAATGGTCAGCTGCTCAGTATTAATTCAAATTGTCAGCAGTCAGTGTTATTGCAAATGGTCAGCGGTCAGTGTTGATGCAAATTGTCAGAGCTCAGAGGAAATGCAAATAGTGCTTAGTGTTAATGCAAATGGTCAGTGCTCAGCCTTATCACATGGGGGCCCCAAACTGATAATCTGCCTAGGGCCCCATGGGAACTTAATCTGGCTCTGCAGACAGCCGAGGAGTAGGAAACCCAATTTGATAGTAAGTACATTTATATTCTGATTACTATTCAGTTGTGTATAATGTTGTATGTTGTTAGCTGTGTAAGCCCCAGTTCATACTGTTGCGATCTCTGAGCAGTGGGAGTTCAGCCATATACTTGTATGGCTGAACTTGCATTAGATTCAGAAGAAAAAAGGCATATGTGCTTTTTTTTTCCTGCAGTGGAATCTGATCGCATGGGTCTTCTCACCCATGCGATCAGATTCCTGTACGAGTTCACAGATCGCAGTGCGGTTCGCATAGGGTACTGTGAACTAGAAAGGTGGTGGAGGAACTGGCTCTGTAATCGGGCCGGTTCCCACACTTCACCAGTGTGAGCCTGAGGTAAAAGCGGAGTTCCACCAATATGGGCCCTGGCAAGGCTGCATTGATGGGCACTGATCAGACTGCATTGATGGGCAGTGCAGTCTTTATGTCTCCGTGTGGGCAAAGTTATTGCTGGTATACTGTTTTTGTAGCACTGTATACATATATTGATATTTTACTAATAGCAATTTGGAATCCCTAGGAAACAATGATATCAAGAAAGAGAAAAATTGAGTCGGAGTATAGGATATTCAAAGAACAGTGGATTTATGATTACTTTTTCATGCAGTACAAGGAAAGAGCTATGTGTCTGATATGCCAGAATATAGTGTCTGTGTTCAAAGAGTACAATTTGCGTCGACACTATCAAACTCAACATAAAGATAAATATGATTGTTTGGTTGGAGAAGTGAGAAAAGATAAAATATTAAAACTGAAAATATTGACAACTCAGCAAAATACTTTTGTGAAGCAGCAGCAGCAGCTAAATATTTCATCACTGTGAGCAAGTTTTCAAGTTGCCAAGCTAATAGGGTGCACTGGCAGACCGTCCGTGGAGGGAGAATTTGTTACAGAATGCCTTCTTTCTATTGCCAAAGAGATGTGTCCAGAGAAGGCCGATTTATTTAGTGCAGTGACTCTTTCAGGACCTACAATTAATTACACGAAAGATTGAAGAAATGAGAGACAATTTGCATCAGCATTTGCAAAACTCCACAAAAAAACTTTCCTATTTTTCCTTGGCACTCGAGGAAAGTAATGATGTTCATGATTCTGCACAACTTGTAACTTTTATTCATGGGACAAATGACTATTTCGAAGTCACAGAAGAGCTTGCTGCACTGCAAAGCATCAAAGGAACAACTACAGGAGAAGATACCTATGAAAAGGTTTTCCAAATAGTGAATGGTTTGGAGCTGGACTGGGCTAAATTAGCCAGTGTGACAACTGATGGTGCTCCTAGCATGGTGGGGTCTAAGAAAGGAGTAATTGCTTGCATTAACCAAGGGATGGACAAACATAACCATTCTCATCCAACAGCCATACACTGCCTCGTCCACCAACAAGCGCTGTGTGGAAATCACTGAAGTGGGACTGTTATGAAAATTGTGGTATCTTGTGTTAACTTCATTAGAGCTAATGCACTAAACCACAGACAATTTCAGGAATTTCTTTCTGCGCTAAATGTTGCCTATGAAGATGTTCTGTACCACACAGAACTCCGTCGGCTGAGTCGAGGGAGAGTTTTGAAACATTTCTATGACTTACTTCCACAGATTACAGCTTTTCTGCTTTCAAAAAACAAAGAAGTACCAGAACTCAATGGTGCAGAATGGAAGTGGCACCTTGCCTTTCTGACAGACGTAACAGAGCTACTCAACAGTTTCAATGTGCAACTTCAAGGAAAGGGGAAGCTCATCTGTGATACGCAATCACATGTGAAAGCATTCGAAGTAAAATTAGGCCTCATTAAACAAGTGAAGGAGGAAAATTTCTGCCATCTCCCCACAACTCAATATCTGTTAGCGGAAAAACCACTGGTTGCATTCCCAAACAAAACATGTGTGGATTCACTGGAAAAGTTGCAAAAGGAGTTCCAATTTAGATTTAAAGAGCTTCATCTCCATAAATAGGGCATACAGCTTTTCTGTAACCCATTTTCTATTGACATTGAAAATGCGGATACAATTTACCAAATGGAACTGGCTGAACTGCAGAATTGTGACTCTCTGAAAGACGCATTCAAGTCAAGCAGCCTTCCTAATTTCTATGCACCTCTCCCCTCAGACTTATCCTAATCTCAGGAACCATGCACTCAAAGTGGCAACCATCTTTGTCAGCACTTATGTCTGTGAACAGACTTTTTCCAGAATGAAACATCTGAAATCTCCAACCAGACCTAGACTAACTGATGCACACTTGCACCACTTATTACAACTAGCAGTGACAAATATGGAACCGGACATCGGCCATATCATTAGCCAAAAGCAGGCCCATAGTTCCCATTGAAATACTGGTAAATTTGTTGATTTAACTTTACTTGTTCTTCATTTTAAATATTGTATTTGTTCCCGTTTTGTTTTTTTACTTCAAAATAAGATATATGCAGTGTGCATAGGAATTTGTTCGTAGTTTTTTTTAAAACTATAGTCCGGCCCTCCAGTGGTCTGAGGGACAGTAAACTGGCCCCCTGTTTAAAAAGTTTGAGGACCCCTGGTTTAGAACATGAAGCAAAATGCAAACAGATAAAAACATAAAGAAAAAAATAACATAGTGGATCAAGCCAAGAATCCAATAATCACTTTATAGGAATTTCAAAAAAAGAGAATATAGAAAAATAAAGTAGAAGGAATTATGAAAGACAGGAGAAAATTTCCCACAGTTGAAAGGAAATAAATACCTTCAAATAAAAAAGGCTTATGATTCAAGAAGTGGAAAAAGATCCATTTGAGACACTTAACTCTGCTGTACAAATTCATTCAAGGAGAATAAACTCACACCTAAACATGTCACCATAAATTTTCAAATCATCAAGCATAACTAGAAAATTGTAATCATTTCAGAGAGGAAAAAAAAACAGTTCAGCTATCAAATTAAGCTCAGACTGGCATTCTCATCTCATCAGCAACAATGAAAAGTGAGAAGACACTGAAACCTTGGAAGAGTTGAAGAAACATAATTTTGATTCTATATGCAGCCAAACTAACAACCATAATAGCAAATGACAATTTATAGCCATGCAAACATTAAAAAATAAAATTACCATCCACACATCTTTGTGAGAAAGTTTCTTTAGAAGGTATTATGGCAAAACAGAGAGGGAAACCAAAGAATAGAAGATGTGGGGTTAAGAAACAATATAATTTACCCACAAGTTCAATGAATGTAAACCCCAAATAGAAGCAATACAAAAGGACTAGAAAGCAATCTGTCCAAATTAAATAGAAGCGCACTGGGCTCCAAGGGAAATGTACTCAAGCAGAGGAACGGAATAAAAGCTTCTCTGTACATGATACAAAGAATGAAGAGAACTTGGTAAAGAAAGCACATGCACCTCTTCCCAAAAGAAAGCAGGAAGACAATCATGAAAGTGGGGAAGGTTAAAAACCATGTAAATATATGGTTCAAAAAATAAAGCATACTCAAGTATGGCATGATTTTTTGCCATTGGAGGGGAAGAAAGAAGAACCAATTGACCTTGATATCACATTCTCCTTAGTATGACAGCAGATCATGAAGTTGAAATACTTGGAAGAAAATGTATCACAGCATACTGCTTGAACCTGCACTGAAGAATAACTATAAACCCATAATACTGTAAACATTTTATTAGTTTTTAGCACATTAACACAGCACAAATGTTGTAGATAAGAAATATAAATATTTTAAACCTGGAAAATGTACAAGGCCCAGCTAAGAAAAAGTTGGCGTGATTATGGTTTCTGCAGTGATAATGGAAAAGGTAGTAACTACTTTTCTCATTTTACCAAATAAGGAGTCAAATATATTTTCAAAAGTTGATATGAAAAAGGTAATTTATATATATTATTTAGAATTATAAAGTAAATAATACAAAAATTGAAAACTGTGATAACTATTCCAAAATTTGGGGAAGAGAGGTTGTGGATGGCGTGGGCTACCTTAAGAAGTCAATAGAAAAAGAATTAGCAATTTAACTTATTATTCAATGTATAGACCTAAAATTAGAAAAGGTTAAAAATGATTACCTCTGGAGAATAGCACTGAGGGTAGGAAGGGTGAGACAGTGAACTGTTGCATTTTATTACTCACTCCTATTGCACTACAGTGTTTGATTTTCAATTAGATGCCTTTATCATTTAGACAACTAAAAATCAAATAATAAAATGCAATGATTCAAAAAGATACAACATTAAATAGTATAAAGCATTTCATTAGTGTTCTGCTCTTAGATGGTTGCACAAAAAAAAAAAACCTCACACACAAACGTTTGCTTACACTTGGTGAATGGAAGAAAGCTATTGAAAAAGAACCCACTGAGGTGAGAGATTAGATGAGAAAAACAATGAAAGCAATTGGGTTTGAAAATAAGTTCATTCAACAAACATTGTGAAGTCCCTATTTTAAGTTTTTTTTCCCAGATTTTTTCCTAGCTACTGTGCCGACAACGGCCAACGGTGAACAGGACACAATCTTTGCCCTCAAAGAACTTGGAGCCGTATAATTCAAATGGGAGGAAAAGTCAAAAATAGAGCAAAAGATGCCGATTTTATCATGAATAAAACAGTTTTCACATTTCTTCAACGGGCAAATGACCCTAATTCATTTGTTTTGTATATATACCTTCTCGCAAAAAGTTATCTTTCTGTCCCAAATAGAAACAGAGACAGGGGGCCTTGAGAAGCAGCCACTGACAATTTTAGAGTAACTTCCTTCTACTGCGTCACTGTCTCCTATTGCTGAAGGGAGTTTCACACTTTGACAACTGATTAAACTTTGAAAACCAAAAACAAACCAAAGCAAAAGTCCGCATCTATGAAGAGTAATGGAAGGGCAGATTCCAGACTTTCTAACCCCTTTAAGCCTTCCTTTGAAGCAGTTACTTTCAAGAGTAGCCTGCAATTCCCAAACGACTCAGGTGAACGTGAGATTCAGGGGAAGGCTGCAGGTAACGAGGGAGACAGTACCCAGCAGCAGGCAGCTCCACAGCTGGGCTCTATTTCTAGCTGCAGACGTGCGGGTGCGGGGCCACTCGCAGCTCCACCTCCCACAACCCCACGCCCCATTACGACACAGAACACTGGGACGTCCAAATACCTGCCTCTGGGTCTGGGGACGCAGGCGGGCACAAGGACAGGTGGGGTGGAGTTTCTGTACAGGCCCCCAGTGCTGTCGCTGTGGCTGCTGTGACTTAGCACAGCAGACCCTGCATTTCAGGTGCTTCTACAGGAGAGGCCTTTCCCGCTGGGAACTCAGAGCTCGCCCTTGGCCGGCAACCTAAGCCAGCTGCAGTAGCATTCTGGGACGATGACCAGGAGCGCGAGCCTGGCTCTCTCCACGCACAGCTCTCAGCTTTTTACCCACCACCCTCGATTCCGCCGGCCATTTCTTCTGACCTCACTGGCTCCGCGACGCAACACGAAGAAAAGACCCCTGACTTCCGGCGTCATGCCGTTTACCCAAATTGGCGACAAAAAAATGTAGGGACAGAGGAAGAGGTGCGGAGGGAGTTGGCAACATTGGGTGAGAGAATAGAAGCGGGGAAGCGCAGTGCGGCGGGTTAATAGGACTGCGCACAGGAAGGGGAAGGGAATGTGGGGAAGGATCTGGGGAACCTTCAGGCGTTTGGCGCGGACACCTCGTTGGGTCCTTTTTCGCTGCCGCAGTGCTGGGGAAGGCGTCGGTCCTTACCTCCCGGCGGAGTCCGCCTTGCAGCCGGGGTCGACTGTTTGATGTGAGTGACGTTGTGGAGGGTCCAGAGTGAGTGGGTTGAGGTCGTAGGAGTCTCCCTTCCCTTACTTCCTCTGGAGAGAGGGCTTGTTCTACGGGTGCTACTAGGAAGCCAGCTTGGCACCAGCACCGACCTTGGCATGGGGAAAAATAGAGAAGAGAGCCAAGTTTGAGAAATGGAATGCAGTGCCAAGAGAAAGGAGGCTACTGGAAAAAATAGATTCTTAAGCACGTTTATTGTCTTGTGAATGTGTGTCAAAGGACTTGAGTGTCGTTGGGGAACTTTCCAGTGACCCACTGTATTATATGTATAGGTGAAAATCCTGTTAATAATTATTTGAGTCTAGATTCTAACTATTCTTTATATATAAACACAAAGTATTTTTCAGCATTTTTATTATATACTAAATTTTGTGTTAATTATTATAGTGTCTGGAAATACAGGGATTGTCCTCTGATAGTTATCTACTCTATAGCCAGCCCCTCATAGCCATCCTTTAAATCCTCTAGGACGCTCAGTGTCCTCATCAGTAAAGGGAAAGAAGGCTCTCTGGTAAGGGAAACAATCAAGAATATATATGAATTTTCACACAAGAAAAGCAGTTTTAGATCTTCTTTCTATAGGTTTGAGCAAAGGTTGATAAAAGACCCCTGGAATTACTACTGGTTTCTGCTGTTAAATATGTTCAGTGTCTCTGAGATGCATTATTCTCAGCGTATGTAATTATATTGTTTACTTTTCTTTAAATTCTGATGAGTTTTGACATATATGTTTTAAATCCTAGTAGGAATTTTAACCTAGTTCTAAAAGGTACCTCATTGTTTCCTTCTATAATAAAGGTATTCTTTAAGTGTGGGGTATATTGGTAATTTAGTTGTGAAGCAAATGAGGGAAAGAAGTTAGACAATAAGAATAGGGATGAAGGGAGAAGAAGAAAGGTGAGGAAAAATGATTAAAAAGTGATTAAAATCACTATAGCTCATCAATTGTGATATACAAGTTTTTCATATTTACATCTCTGAAATAAGGGTGTATTTTAAAATTGTTGACATCTTAATATAGACCAACAGGTACTTGTAACATAATTATCATTGCCTACTGGGGAGATAGGTGAAGTAAAGAAAAATGTTAAGAAAGGTAATCTCAAAAATAGTCTTTTGTTTGTGTGTTTTTTTTTCTTTTATTTCGGCATATTATGGGGGTACAAATTTTAAGGGTTCAATAAATGCCCTTTACTCCCCTCCCCCAACAAGTCTGAGTTTCCAGCGTGACCATCCCCCAGACGGTGCACAACTCACTCGTTATGTATATACATACCCTCCCCCCCTCCCACCTGCCCAATACCCTATTACTGTAGTACCTGTGTGTCCACTTAGGTGCTGCTCAGTTAATACCAGTTTGCTGGTGAGTATGTGTGGTGCTTGTTTTTCCATTCTTGGGAAACTTCACTTAGTAGTATGGGTTCCAGCTCTAACCAGGAAAATATAACATGTGCTATATCACTGTTGTTTCTTAGAGCTGAATAGTACTTCATGGTATACATATACCACATTTTATTAATCCATTCGTGGAATGATGGGCACTTGGGCTGTTTCCACAGCCTTGCAACTATGAATTGTGCTGCTATTAATATTCGAGTGCAGGTGTCTTTTTTGTAGAGTGTCATTGGATCTTTTGGGTAGATGCCCAGCAATGAGATTGCTGGATCAAATGGTAGATTCACCTGTATCGCTTTAAGGTATTTCCATATTGCTATCCACAGAGGTTGAACTAGTTTGCAGTCCCACCAGCAGTGTAGGAGTGTTCCTCTCTCTCCGCATCCACACCAGCATTTATTGTTTTGAGACTTTTTGATAAAGGCTATTCTCACTGGAGTTAAGTGATATCTCATTGTGGTTTTGATTTTCATTTCCCTGATGATTAGAGATGTTGAGCATTTTTTCATATGTTTGTTGGCCATTCTTCTGTCTTCTTTAGAAAAGTTTCTGTTCAAGTCCTTTGCCCACTTTTTAATAGGGTTATTTGATTTTTTTTCTTGCTGATTTTCGTGAGTTCTAAGTATATTCTAGTTATCAGCCTCTTATCGGATGCGTAGGATGCAAAAATTTTCTCTCATTCTGTAGGTTGTCTGTTTACTTTCGTGACTGTTTCTTTGGCTGTGCAGAAGCTTTGTAGTTTGATCATGTCCCATTTATTTATTTTTGTTGCTGCTGTGATTGCCTTTGGGGACTTCTTCATAAACTCTTTGCCTAGGCCGATGTCTAGGAGAGTGTTTCCAACATTTTCTTCTAGAATTCTAATAGTTTCATACCTTAGGTTTAAGTCTGTTACCCAGCGTGAGTTGATTTTTGTGAGAGGTGAAAGGTGTGGGTCCTGCTTTAGCCTTCTACAAGTGGCTATCCAGTTTTCCCAGCACCATTTATTGAAAAGGGGATTCTTTTCCCCAGCGTATGTTTTTGTCTGCTTTGTCAAAGATTAGATGGCTATATGAGGATGGTTTTATATCAGGATTCTCACATCTGTTCCACTGGTCAATATTCCTATTTTTGTGCCAATAGCAGATTTAATTACTACAGCTTTGTAGTATAGTTTGATATCTGGAATATTAATGCCTCCCATTTTGTTTTTGTTGGCTAGAATTGCTTTTCATATTCGGGGTCTTCTTTGGTTCCATACGAAGTATAAAATATTTTTTTCTATATCTGTGAAGAATGCTGATGGGATTTTAATAGGTATTGCATTGAATCTGTAGATCAGTTTGGGTAGTATAGACATTTTGATGATGTTGAGTCTGCCGATCCATGAGCATGGTGTGGATTTCCATCTGTTTGCATCCTCTGTTATTTCCTTCCTCAGTGTTTCATAGTTCTCCCTGTAGTGGTCTTTTACGTCCTTGGTTAAGTATATACCTACGTACTTTAATTTCTTTGTTGCTATTGTGAAAGGAATTGAGTCTTTGATTTGGTTCTCAATTTGATTGTTGTTGGCGTATATGAATGCCTCTGATTTCTGTGTATTGATTTTGTATCCTGAGACTTTACTAAATTCATTGATCAGTTCCAGGAGTTTCTTGGTTGAATCTTTGGGGTTTTCTAGATATATCATATCATCAGCAAACAGTGAAAGTTTGATCTCTTCTGCCCCAATTTGGATACCTTTACTTCCACTTTCCTGTCTGATTGCTGTAGCCAGGAATTACAGCACTCTGTTGAACAGAAGTGGAGATAGGCGGCAGCCTTGTCTGGTTCCAGTTCTGAGTGGGAATGATTTCAATTTTTCCCCATTCAGTATGATGTTGGCTATGGGTCTGTCATATATGGCTTCTATCATTTTTAGGTATGTCACTTCTATGCCTGTTTTATCAAGTGTTCGTATCATGAAAGGGTGTTGAATTTTGTCAAAAGCTCTTTCTGCATCTATTGAAAGAATCATGTGGTCTTTTTTTTGCTTCTGTTTATGTGGTGAATTGCATTTATGGATTTACGTATGTTGAACCATCCCTGCATCCCTGCACCACTTGGTCGTGATGGATTCTTTTTTTGATAAGCGTCTGGATTCGGTTAGCTAAGATTTTGTTGAAAATTTTTGCATCTATATTCATTAGGGATATTGGTCTGTAGTTTTCTTTTTTTGTTGTATCCTTTCCTGGTTTTGGTATCAGAGTAATACTCGCTTCATAAAAGGTGTCCGGGAGGTTTCCATTCTTCTCAATGGTGTGGAATAGTTTCTGCAAGATAGGTACTAGTTCTTCTTTGTGAGTGTGATAAAATTAGGGTGTGAAACCATCTGGACCAGGACATTCCTTTTTAGGGAGATTTTTAATTGCTATTTCTATTTCAGCTCTTGAGATTGGTCTGTTCAGGAAACCTATTTCTTCCTGGTTGAGCCTAGGGAGGCTGTGTGTTTCTAGAAATTTGTCCATTTCCTGCACATTTTCCAGTTTGTATGCATAAAGATTTTTGTAGTATTTATAAATTATATCTTGTATCTCTTTGGGATCAGTTGTGATATCTCCTTTTTGGTTCCTGATGGAGCTTATTAGAGATTTCTCTTTTCTGCTTTTCCTTAGCTTAGCCAATGGTGTGTCAATTTTGTTTATTTTTTCAAAGAACCAACTTTTTGTTTTATTAATTTCCTGAATAGTTTCCCTGTTCAATTTCGTTTAGTTCTGATTTGATCTTGTTGATTCCACTTCTTCTGCTGGGTTTGGGAGGTTGGTCTGTTCTTCCTTTTCCAGCTCTCTGAGTCGTTTCATTAAATTGTCTGTGATCTTTTTGACTTTTGGTTATAGGCATTTATGGAGATAAACTTTCCTCTCAGAACTGCTTTAGCCTCTAGTATCCCACAGGGTTTGATAACTTGTTCTCCATTGTCATTTTGTTCATAGAATATTTTTATTTCCACCTTGATTTCTTCATTTATGAAGTAATCATTTAATAGGAGGTTGTTTCATTTCCACGTTTTTGTGTAGAAATGTGAGTTTCTGTTAGGGTTGATTTCTACTTTTATTCCACTGTGATCTGAGAAGATAAATGGTATGATTTCTATTTTTTTAAATTTCTTGAGGTTTACTTTGTGTCCTAGGATATGGCCAGTCTTAGAGAATGTCCTGTGAGCTGATGCGAAGAATGTATATTCAGTCGATTTTGTGTAGAATGTCCTGTAAATGTCAGTCAGACCTAATTGTTCTAGAGTTTTGTTTAAGTCCATTATTTCTTTATTAATTTTCTGTTTGGAGGATCTGTCTTGTGCTGTCAGTGGGGTGTTGAAATCTCTGGTGATTATGGAGTTGCTATTAATCCATTTGCTTATATCCAGTAAGGTTTGCTTTATGAAACTGGGTGCACCTAAGTTGGGTGCATATATATTTAAAATTGTTATCTCTTCTTGTTGAAGTGTGCCCTTCACCATTATATAATGACCCTCTTTGTCTTTCACTACTTTTGTTGGTTTAAAAACTAAATCGTCTGAAATTAGAACTGCCATGCCAGCCTTCTTTTGGTTTCCACTTGCCTGGAATACTGATCTCCACCCTTTTACTTTTAGTCTATATGCATCCTTGCAGGTTACATGTGTTACCTGAAAACAGCATATACTTGGCCTGCAGTTTCTTATCCATTCAGCCAGCTTCTGTCTCTTGAGTGGAGAGTTTAAGCCATTAACATTTATTGAGAGAACTGATAGGTAAGGTAGATTATTGTTCATTCTGTTGGGTTGGATGATGTTGCTTTGATTTCTCTCTTGAGCCGTTGTAATATCTGGCTGTTAATCTTTGCGTTTTGGTTGTTTTTATATTCGTGAGTTTTTCTTATGGCGTTCCATGTGTAACACTGTTTTGAGTAAGTCTTGTACGGCTAGTCTTGTATTGGTGAAATCTCTGAGACTTTGCTTATATGACAATGTTTTTATTTCTCCTTCATATATGAAGTTTCGTTTTGCAAGGAATAAAATTCTAGGGTGGGCATTGTTTTGTTTCAGAAGAGTGAAAATGGGGCCCCAGTCTCTCCTTGTTTGTAAAGTCTCAGTAAAGAAATCTGGTGTTATTCGAATTGGCTTTCCCTTGTATGTTACTTGCTTAATTCATCTGACAGCTCTTAGAAGGGCCTCTTTAATTGATATTTTGGTCAGTCTGATGACTGCATGTCTTGACATCTTCCTGTTTGCATTGAAATTCGCAGGGGTCCTCTGAGCTTCTTGAACTTGTATATCGAGATTTTGAGCAAGGCCTGGGAAATTTTCCTCTATTATATCTTCAAATAGCTTGTCCAACCCATGAGTGTTGTCTTCTTCCCCTTCTGGTAACCCTATGACCCTCACATTAGGTTTCTTCACATAATCCCACAGCTCTTGTAGGCTTTGCTCTTTTCTCCTGTTTCTCTGCTCTATTTCTGTGACTGATTTATTTAATTGGAGGGTGTTATCTTCAATCTCTGAGATTCTTTCTTCTGTTTGATCTACCCTGTTTTGAGACTTTCCAGTGAATTTTGTAGTTCCCTGAATTGATTCTTCATTTCCAAGAGTTCGGTTAAGCTTCTCTTTATTGTGTTGATTTCTTTAGTGAACATTTGTTCCAGGTCCTGGAGGCTTTTTGTGGTTTCTTTGTGTTGGTTATTGAGTTGTTCTTGCAGGTCATTGAATTTTCTTATGATCCACATTCGATATTCCTCTTCTGTCATTTTGGTTGCCTGATTTTGGTTGGTGTCTGTTTCTAAGGGGCTGGTGCTCCTCTTTGAGGGTGTGTTTTCCGTTTGGTTCTTCATATTTCCAGAGTTCTTTCGCTGGTTTCCTCCCATGTCGATCAGTTGTTTTCTTTTCTTTAGGTTTTTGTTTGGGTATTCACATGCCTTGTTTAGTTTCTGAGCCAGGAGGTTGTGTCTGTGGGTGAGATTTGACCAGTCCCTTTATAATGAGTCTGTAGGTGGTGTGAAAAGGGTATGCAGGATGCCCTCCCTGTCAGCACGTGGCACTTGCTTGGAGGAACAGGCTATGCTGTTGTTTTTGTGTCCTCTTATCAGCTTTTGTTCCTGTAGACAGTCACTCTAGTGCCTCAGGTGGTGGGTGGGGCCCTGGGACTTCCAGGTGTGTCCTTTTCTCCCCCTCAGTGAGGGCTGATCTAGGAGAGAGTGTGGGCAGAGCTGGGTTGGGTAAGCCTGCCCTCAGGCACCACCAGTGTCTTTAGCAGGGGTCAAAGTTCTGTTCTCTGCTTCCAGGAAAAGCTGTCAGGGAGGGGTGGAATTGCCCCATTCAGTCAGAAATTCTGCATGTGGGGTGGGGCTGTCTGTCACCTGCAGTCCTGAGCGGGGCTGGCTTCTTTCCACCCTCCCCAGCTCCGCAGCTACTCCTGGGCCTCTGCCAGTAGGCCAGACCACACGCTACCAGGCCTCCTCTGGCTGTGATGCCAGCGAGGAGGTTCCCTGTGCAGGAAAACCACCTCGGCTGGGCTCACAGCCTCCCTTTGGGAGGAGGGTTGCCCTCTGGGACACCGATGTGCCCCTGAAGGCACACACACCTCAGTAGGCTGTTCACGTATATCTCTTTTGTGTCCCGGGCAATGCAAGACCTTGATGCACAGGATCTGGTCTCCAGGTCTGATCTCTGGGCCCCAGAGTTGAAACTGTATCCCCACCAGGGAGAGGAGTGCCAGTCCCAATTCACTCACGGAGAGCCCAAGCCGTGTCTATGTCTCTCAGCCTCAGGGTCTGCCCCATTCTCCTGGGATCACCATGCTAGCAGCACCTGGGAGGGCTGGCGGGGAGGGAGCTCACAGTCTGAGTTCCCCTTAGTCAGCTATAGGGCCCGAAAAGGAAAGGTCCTGTTCCCTGGAGGTGCCTCTGGCTGTTGGCTGTACTATCTTTCTGGGCAGCCGCGGGTAGGGTCTGTGGAGGGGTGAAGGAGGCAATATGGTGCCTGCTGCGCTGCCCGGGTCTGTGCACACAGAGGTGCCCGAGGGATTTGGGAGCTGGTGCCACGTCCGCTACTGGCTTACCGCTCACTGGCAGCGGCCGTTGCTTGGCTGGTGTCCGCAGGTCTCTCCACCAGCTGGGGACCCCACCAGCAGTCCCAGATGCAGGGGAGGGGAAAGGTGACTTATCCACCTACCCTTCCCGCTGGTCTCCGGGCTGCTCTGGCGGTCTCAGCTTCCAGTTCTCCTCTGCAACCTCCTCCCGTGGAGTCTCCCGTGATCTCAAGTACTCCTCCTTCCGACCCTTGTCCGATGTATGCTCATCTTCTTGCTTCTTTCTTGTAATTTCTGCTAGAATCTGTATTTTCTGCAGAGACACCCTTTCTGGTGGTGTTTCTTGTCCGCCATCTTGATTCCCTCCTCCCTGTTTGTGTGTTTTAGTGATTTATTCATATGCAGTATTTGGTATCATGTGTTAGAATCAAATTAATGGCTTTTTAAGTTTGATGAAGTATGGTTTGAACATTGAAAAGAACAAAACGTGAAGAGACAATAATTTGGATAATATTTTTCGAAAGATTTTCTCATAAAATATATGATCCCTACTATTACTATCTCAAGTTAGAAAAGGAAAAAGAAACGTTCTTGACTGTCACCATTCAGACACAACATACTTGGTATATTGTTTTCTGTGCCTTTTTTCTCTCCACAAATGTTTTATATTTGCAGTTACTGTACTTGTAATTGTTATATTTATTTTAATCTCATAATTTTACTTATTTTTTTAGCACAGAGATTAAACTAGCATTTCCCAAACTGTTTTAGAGAATACTGGTTTAATTAAACGTTCATCAATGTTCCTTGGTTAGGAGTCTGTCATTCAATACATTGAAAATGCTTTATAATTATATATTATACTTTAGAGAAATTATAGCTCAGGCATTAATAGATCTAGCTGCAATATCAAACAGACCTGAGTTTCAATCCTCATTTACTAAGTAGCTGTATGGCCTGGGGCAAATTAATTTTAATTCAAGTTTTCTTCTGTGTATAATTGAGGTAATTACAGTATTCAAAGGTGATCCATGTAAAGTGTTTAGCCAGTCATAGTAAGTGCTCTATAAATATGTTAATATTAATATGTGAGAAACCCTGTGCATGTTAGCATATTAGAAGCTCTGAGGAGACTAAGAGGACTTAAAATCTTGGAATTTAGCTTTTACTCAATGTAAAATTGAAAATCACAGTGGAGTCATTAGCTCGCAATAATGAAATGAGCATTGAGTTAAATGGAAAAAGATTTGCCTGAGCTTTAAGCAATGTTCCCTCCTCTGTTGGCCTAAACATAACCTTATTCTAAAAAATTTCTTCAATTTACTATGTTTCCCCCATTTATCTGAAAGCTTAGTCAGTGCAAAGAACATATGGATTTTTGTTTTTCACTATAATCCCAGCACGTGGGACAAAATAAGCAAAGTATACTATAAGTAAAGTTGGTGTCATGAACTTAAATTACTTTTATAGACCTGGCAACATAAATGACAGACAACCAGGAGTGGTGAAGTCTGTATATGTGCTTTGCTTAAAGGTAATGTTAAGTTGTTTCATACACTGTTTAGCCTGGACCAAAAAGGCATCCCTGAACTGAATGGTGATATTACTAGAGAAACATTCGTATAAACTCATGTGTCCATCCTGTATTTTTGAAATATTTAAATGACAGTTAGTCAACAACTACTAGAAAACCTGTTTCCAGAGCTTCTAATGCCAAAAAACTGCTTTTTCCACAGTGTCCTGTACAATAAATTTATTCCTTTCACAGTGTGATTTATCACTTTTATTTTTTCATTTAGGATTTTCTGCCGTTTCTTGGCAAAAATGGCAAATAATAATGCTGTTTTGAAGAGACTGGAGCAGAAAGGTGCAGAGGCTGATCAAATCATTGAATATCTTAAGCAGCAAGTTGCTCTTCTTAAGGAGAAAGCAAGTAAGAAAATTTGAAATTTTGTAAGAAGATATTTAAAATGAATTCGTATATTGACAGAGTAAATAAAATGTGCTTACCACATAAATTATTACTTAATCATCTGGATGATAGCTTTCAGATTCCTTTAAATTTTGAGTGTAAAAATACTCTAGGATTAAATAAATTAGAATTGATATATGTTGAGTAGATGATATGTAGAGAAAACAGTGTATTATTTCAGGACTGCTAAAGGAAGATTATAATGCTTAAAATAGGTTGGTATAGCATTAGAAGTTAGAAATGAAGAAAATTGGGTGAAACCAAACATGAAGTCAAGTATTTCCTCTAACCTTATATGGAGAAGAATGTATACTTTCATATTACTCTGTACTAAGGCATTTTCTAAAATGATTTTTACATGGAAATATTTAAGTTTTATGTAGAATTTGCTGTTATATGTATAAAAATATTAAACCTGAATTTCTACTTTAGGACTTAGTTTGGTTTTGGGTTTGTTTAAATATATTTTAGTTTTTTTTTTTTTTTTTTTTTTTTTTTTTTTTGAGACAGAGTCTCGCTTTGTTGTCCAGGCTAGAGTGAGTGCCATGGCGTCAGCCTCGCTCACAGCAACCTCAAACTCCTGGGCTCAAGCGATCCTCCTGCCTCAGCCTCCCCAAGTAGCTGGGACTACAGGCATGCGCCACCATGCCCGGCTAATTTTTTATATATATATCAGTTGGCCAATTAATTTCTTTCTATTTATAGTAGAGACGGGGTCTCGCTCAGGCTGGTTTTGAACTCCTGACCTTGAGCAATCCGCCCGCCTCGGCCTCCCAAGAGCTAGGATTACAGGCGTGAGCCACAGTGCCCGGCCTTTTTTTTTTTTTTTTTTTAATTTATTTATTTATTTATTTTTTTTACTTTTTATTTTTTCTTTTCCACTGTGCAACCTGCTTCAGTGCCAGGAGTCTACGAGCACAGGCCAGGCAATGGTTTGAGGCCACAGTTTGCTCTCGCATGGGACACTATGAGAGGGGGACTATTAGTTTTCAATAACCAATGTTAATGTCATAATACAAATTTCAAAATCTTTTGCCATCACTAATAGAAAAGAATGCTTTCACTCCTGCATAAACCTACAAATGGCTTACAGAAGCCTACATTTACTCTCTAAAAAAATTTCCCTTTATAATTTTTCCCCAATTTTAAAATACAAGTTTAATTATTTCTTTTTTATAATGTTTCCTAGGATTTCTCTTACTATTTTTCTTAAATTCTTAATATTCCTATTAATAAAATGAAGAGATTGGAAATGATCATTGCTTATATGATATAATGTATGTTATAAACCTAAGTTTTTTTCTCATGAGTGGCCATTTCCGAGCATCTTGACTAGCATTTCAGTGTTGCTGATTTCTTTTTAAAAGGAAACTATTTATTCTTCACCTTCATATTATTTTCTTTGGTAACCTATCTTGGTGGTTCTCATTTGCACGAAATACTTTGTAAAATCTGTGTTAATGTCCTGTAAAGAAAATATTTTAGATAAGATATCCTGCCTATATACATAATTTCAAAACATAGCATTAACCCTATATGTAGTATAGAAGAGAAATAAAAAGAAAGTAATTTATAAACAGTAGTTATAATAATGTATATTTTAAGAATTATGGTTACATGTGCCTATAGTCTTGGCTACTCAGGAAGATCACTTGTTCTCAGGAGTTTGAGGCTGCTGTGAACTGTGATAAGGCCCCACAGTCCTGCCTGGGTGACAGAGCAAGACCTTATCTCAAAAAGAAAAAAAAAAGTAATACTTTGAGTGAGACTGTACTACCAGAGGTAATGTGAGAGGGTCACATGCTACATGATTCACATACATGGACTCTCCAAGAATGCAACAGGTACAGTGCCAACTATCATAATAAAGATACATATTAGTCTGCCTTTGTTAAAGCAGCTCAGATACCAGAAGCAGTTTTTAGTGATGAATCTGATTTACTCAAAATGTTGAATGATTTCTTAGGTAGAATTCTGAATAAAACAAGGTACAGGCTACTCTTGATTTACATGGTATTTGATTCCTGGAAAATTTAGTATAATAAAAATGCTGAAAAATACTTTGTGTTTATGTATCAAGAATAGTTAGAATCCAGACTCAAATAATTATTAACAGGATTTTTACCTATACATACAATAGAGTGGGCCACTGGAAAGTTCTGCTGAATGTGAGACATTTCTTCATTTTGCAAGAATATGCAGCATGTTGCAGGACATCTGGCATCCTTGACCCCTGCCCAGTGAAGGCCAGGAGTGACTCCCTTTATTTGTGACAACCAAAAATAATCCCATAGATTTTCAGAATTCTACCCAAGGAGCAATATCAGCCCCACTGAGAACTATTGTTTTTCTGTTGTATTTCATATGCTTTATTCACCTTTAACACACACATTATTTTTTAACACATACGTTATATTTTGAACAAATCTTTGAAGTTATTTCACTCATTGCATGTTTGGCCAGCCCCACTTCGAGACTTTAGGAATAAAATATTATTTAGCTTCTTTTAAATAGTAATGACTAAAAAGAGATGAGAATAGTTTTTCCTTGTGTGATATCATCATTAGGTCTCATACTTTTTAAATATATAATTTGATATATCTAATACTCACCTCTCTTTCTTACAGTTTATCTGTTATTGACACTTTGATGCCAGTGTCTTAAGTTATTTGTCATTGCCCTTTATTATAGCTACAGTGCTGAAAAGGTGATAATTTGATTTTAGTAAGCATCTTTATAGAAGCTAGGAAAATGATTCATAGACAAAATTTTTTTCTGTTCCACTATTATTTCACAGATTTTCTCCCTTATTTACTCTTTCTCTCTCTCTTTACTTCTCTCTCTCTCTCATCAGGTTGTTTTAATAAATATTAAACTGGCATAAAGAACTAGCCAAAAATTTGGTTGCTAGTGTCCTCCTCACTCCATTTATATTGGTTATCCTCTTTTCAAATAGTATTCATATAAAACCTTTGAAAAAAAACATATTTTAACTGGATTTTCTTGATCCTAGTTTTGCAGGCAACTTTGAGAGAAGAGAAGAAACTTCGAGTTGAAAATGCTAAACTGAAGAAAGAAATTGAAGAACTGAAACAAGAGCTTATTCAGGCAGAAATTCAAAATGGGGGTAATTAGATATGGAAATGATAGATTATTTTGATTTATGATAATAATATGTCACTTTTTATTTATTAAGTATTATGCTTGATTTCTCAACTTATCCTCACAGCATGCCTCCATGCTGCCTTACAGAAGAGAAAATGGAGACTTTGAAGAGGCAGATGATCTTGCCTGAAGTCACACAAAAGTAGTAAAGCTAGGTTCAAAAACCTATTATTTTAATTTTTGTTCTGTACTGCAACTTGACCATCACTGTTCCTGTTTGATACTTAGTGAAAATTAGCCATGATACTATTCAATTAATTTTTATTAAGGTTCACTGTATGTGGAACACTGTAGCAAGTGTGTCCTTCACATGCATTATTTTATCCTTAAAAACACTTATATACAAGCATCTTTGTTTTGTACATGAGGCAGTTAAAGCTTAGAGCTTTAAAATAATTTTCAGAAATCATATAATTTTTAAGCTACCCAAGTCAGCAAATAAGTATCATTTCAACTATTATATTGTAAATAAAATTTAAAATTTTATTGAATTGTTTTGCAAGTTTCTAGGCAAATTTACATTATCATAAAACAATGAGAATAATAATAACAGTTCTGTTAAAATTTCAGAGTACCACATAGAAAGGTATTTGATTGTATTGTAGAAAATCCTGGGTGAATTAAGGAGGCCCTAGTATATAAAAGTCTCTCTTATTGGTTCCTTCTGACCATTATTCTGTCAGTGAATTATTTTGAAAGTTGTAGTATTAATTCTACCTTTAGTTAGATAAATAAAAATAAGGGAAAAAATCAATGATGTATTAGAGCTGTCAACTAGAGAGAATATTGTTTGTCATTCGAAGATTTGAGACTAGTTGATGCTTTCCAAGACTAGCAGATTTGGAATGCAGGTATAGAATTAAATAAGCATTAAAATATTAGCTGCTTAAAACTGCTTTTCATTTCACCCAGTGCTTGAAGACTGCCCCTATAAACAGTAAATTTTTAAACTCTAATTTTATTAATGAAATGTTAAACCAGATCAGTGGTTTGAATTAAAGTAGTGAATTCTGTCTGGTGGTGAAACATAAAATAGAAATTCACATTATTAAAAGAAGCAATACCCTCTAAGGAACTTAAAAAATACCTCGGAAAAGTGGCCTGGATATTGGCCAGAATCTGAGCCGCATCAAAATCCCTCATGAGATTATATTTTTCTGTGTTCATTGGGATATGGGAATCGTTTTTTAACATCTTAAAATATTGCTGATAGATTTCCCTTTGCTTCTTTAAAAAGTTGTTTTTTGATATACAATTATGGAGAAGTAATGCTGTCTCTCCATTAATTCTAGAATAGAAATGACTAATATTAAAACCCTTTCCCAATTGATTGTTCAATATGAAGGAAAACCTGAGTGAAAACTTGCCATCATGCCAGACCATGAGAGTGTAGCCTCTGGAAACAAACTGCCTGGGTATAAATTCTTCTTCTTCTTCTTACTATCTGTGTGATGGGCCAATTTCTTAACTCCTGGTTGGCTCAGATTGATCATTTGTAAAATGGGAACATGGACAGAACATTCTTCTTAGGGTGTATATGAGAAATGCATGAGTTAACTCATATAATGCATTTTAAAAAGTATTTGGGACATAGTCCATAATAAATGTTAGCTATTATTTTTGTTATCTGCAAGTTTCTCAGTTTAGTAATTAAATGGGAATCATGCCTTTATTCTTTTACCTCAGTAATGGTTTAAAATACTTTATTTCTTGGCAGCCTTTTTACAGTCTCAGACAGGAGATACTTAGTAGTCACGTACAGTGAACTTTTCTTTTAAAAAGAGTTTATAGTTATGATTCACAATTCCATATTCTTTATGTTGCTTATTGATTTTAATATAAATGACTATCTATTTCATTTTCTGTATCAGTGAAGCAAATACCATTTCCATCTGGTACTCCACTGCAAGCCAATTCTATGGTTTCTGAAAATATGATGCAGTCTACACCAATAACAACCATATCTTCTGGAGCCAAAGAACAGATAAAAGGAGGAGCAGGGGAAGAAAAGAAGGCAAAAGAGAAAATTGAAAAGAAAGGTATTTTTGACCTTTAAGCTTATTGGGCTCTTGACTGGTTTATCAGATAATGTCAACATGTTTGGTGATGATAATAATAATGGTATCAAAAAGAAAGTTCAAACTTTTAAGAGCTAAAGTAGAATTAGGACTAATATGATAATGGAACATACAAGCTGGGTCCTAAATGATGTATGAATGTTGACCAGGTCAACAAGGTAAAAGTACGGTGTTTTAGTCAGAGGAGCCAACTAATTAAAACCATAGAAAGTGGAAATTAAGTGTAGGATCCCATATGTAGTTTGGTATGACTGACTTTGGTTTGCTATGTATCTGGGCCATAGTTTCAAAGAAGTCACAGGTAGGAAGTTAGCTTAAGACCAGTTGTGAAGATAGGAAAAGGACATTCTAGTCAAGGCAAAATGTCTGAACTGAGGCATAGGAGTGTTGAGATTTCAGGAACACATACGAACCTAATTAGAAGCCAGGCACAGTGCCTCATGCCTGCAATCCCAGTTCTTTGAGAGGCAAGGAGGATCACTTGAGGCCAGGAGTTCAAGACCAGCCTAAGCAACATAGTGAGACTCTGCTTCTTCAAAAGATAAGAAATAATCCAGGCGTGGTGGTATGCACCTGTAGTCCCAGCTACTTATGAGGCTGAGGCGGGAGGATTGCCTGGGCTCAGGAGTTCCAGGTTGCAGTGAGCTGTGATCACACAACTGCACTGCGACACAGGAAGGACTGCTCTTGAAAAAACAAAAAATCCAAGTGAAGTAGAAAGCAGAGTCACCATTCACTTAGGCAACCATACTTGAAATCTTGAGCAGTCAATCTTAACCTGTTTCTTCTCCTCAATTTTCATGTCTAATTAAACCAATAAGCCCTATAATTCCTTTCACCAAAACATCTAGAACCCAATTCTGTTCTTTCATTTCATTAGGAGCTGCCTCAGTTCAAGTTTTTATGATCTTTCATCTGAATTAATGTTAAAGCCTCATCTTTTCTAGTTTATCCTTTACCTTGCTGCTAAAGCTATTTTTCTAATCTGACTACCTTTTTAACCACTTTCCTTCGCTGCTCACTAGAGTTCATTTCCCTAGTTATGTCTTAAAAAGTACTTTTGTAATTCATTACATATACCTCTCAGTATACTTAACACTCATTTTTAATTTTTTTGGAAAGTACAAGATGGCTGAGGGATTTGTGAACTAACCTAAGCCAATTTAGCATCTAGCACTTGATTCCTTTTGGTAAACAGTATAGCCTCTGTTAGAAGTAGGTGGGGCTGCACATCCTCTCCAATGCACCTTCACCATTAGGTGGTATGAGTACAATGGAAGCATTGTACTAATTCTTATTTGTAAAATTAAGTAGACAAAACAATTATATAGCCTATTATTATAAATTTGGTGAAGTTCATACTTTGTTCTCTAAGGAGGATGCACTGTTATTCTGATGGCAGAATTAATCAGTCTTTTAATCAATTGAGGCAGCAAGGCCCTCCTGGGAGAAGGAGGAGCAAACAAGACCAAATGGAGCTCTAGGTCTAGAACACTTTTGTCCAGTGGAACTCTTCTATGATGATGGAAATGCTTTATGTCTGCATCGTCCAACATGGTAGCCAGTAGCCAGGTGAGGCTGTCAAGGATTTGAAATGTGGTTAGTGTGACTAAACTGAATTTCTAACTTAGTGTTAATTATTTGGAACTTAAATGTAAATAGCCAGATGGGGCTGGCAGCTACTGTGTTGGACAGTGCTGGTCATAGAGAGCTATTCCGTAGGTGTTTTGCTGCGAGGATCACCAGATTCCAATATTCTGCTCATGCAAGGGCTGTAGTGCCCGTATAGTCTAGATCACCATATATCTTGATTGCGTATGATTCACGTCAATGAAACATTTCTGAAATCCCTTATGATAATTAACAGAACTCTGGTATAGGTTTTAGTATTTGCAATCACCTCTGGAATGTGGATTCCTGGTAATAAAGATATTTCAAATGCCTGGAAAGTAGGTTAAAGTTAAAAATATATATGGATATAACTATATCATATTGTTACAGTATTTTAAAGTAAATATATATAGCTTATACAAAGATAACTTAAGATTTTAATATATTTTCTTCTGGTAGTTTTGTATATGTTTTTCTATATCATATGGGTTTTTATCTTTTAAAGAGTCTTTGCTAATTCGTTATATGGAAAATGTCATTTTTTAAAAGCTTGGTAATGGGATTAAAAATTGTCCAAAATATTTTAAACTAGTTCTGTCTCCTCTTTTGTAAGCTATCTTTGTATAAATTGTGAATTTCCTTTACATAAAATCCTCCTTTCCTGTTCTGTGCAGAATTGTTCTTCTCTGTGTTTCTTTGCATATAATATTTATTGCATATTCATTACATATGTGTCTGTCTTCCTTAAAAGAGATTTCATGTGCTTTGGCATTATGGGCCACTCATCTTACTCTTTCCAGGGCCTTAGCACTCAGTAAATATTTTTTTAAAAAGTTAAGTAAAGGTATAGTTTACAAGGACTGCTTCCATGCTACAGAAGTTTACCTGTGCCCTGCAGACTTGAAGTAAATAAGTTTTTGTTTTTATTTATTTGTTTGCCACAGGAGCTAGTTGTAAGCTTAAGGAATATGAATCCTCTATGCAGGATTGAATGAGGCTCAGTAGCTGAAGTAATCGTTTGTTTGTAAGAGTTACATGATCAGCATATAAATAAAAGTAGAATTAATAATTAATTAAACTTAGAAACAGGATTTGTTGGGACCTGTACTCCCATAGGAGGTTGAGATGGGAGGATTGCTTGTGCCCAAGAGTTCAAGTCCAACTTGAGCAACATAACAAAACCCCTTTCTCTTAGGGAAAAAAAAAATAGTTGCTATGGTTAAACCTAAAGTCCTCATAAATCATCGGGGAAATCTAAGAATTGTCAAAATTCATTTTATATTTATTTGTGTATATAAATGATGAGAGAAACATTCTATCAGTGAAATTTTATTTCACTGTAGTTCATTCTGTCATTTGGCTACTGGTTGTGGTGTTCTTTCTAAATAAAGGATTTTTCACTTTCCAAAGAGTAAAAGTAAAAGTTTTTAAAGGATTTCCTATGGGTCTGTTTTAGGGAAAGGCAAACTTTTTCTGTAACATACCATGTAGTAAATATGTTAGGCTTTTTGAGCCATAATGTCTCTGTCACCACTACTCAACTCTACCTTAGTGCAAAAGTATCCATAGATAATATGTAAATGAACGGATATGATTACATTACTTACAAAAGCAGGCATCAGGCTGGATTTGGCCCATGAGCTATAGTTGCCAACCTCTGCACCACGTCTTCTAACTAGAAATATAACAAGGAAATAGCTAAAAAAGGGTTTAAGACATTATGACTTGAATAGTTCTTTCCTTTGTTATTATTGAAATGAAGGTAGGAGATAAATATTCTTTTTTTCTTTTAAACTCGTCAGTATTAATACCATGGGTTTTTCATAGTGTAATTTTGTTTTCCTTCTGATGTTTACCCATTCATAATTACTTTTTTAGGAGAGAAAAAGGAGAAAAAACAGCTGTCAGCCACAGGAAGTGCTGACTCCAAGCCAATAGATGTTTCCCGCCTGGATCTTCGAATTGGTTGCATTATATCTGCCAGAAAACACCCTGATGCAGATTCATTGTATGTAGAAGAAGTAGATGTTGGAGAAACAGCCCCAAGAACAGTTGTCAGCGGCCTGGTGAATCATGTTCCCCTTGAACAGGTAAATCTGTACAACTGAAATTACTGTAGCATTCATAGGTCACTTTTGTTCCCTCTTTTTTGATGGCTTTCCATTATGATTTCCTATCGGATGGCCATAGGACATGAGCCAGTGTTGATTAGTTCAATTAATTAGTTTGAATGTGGTAGATTCTACAAAAAAGGTGCATAAAGCCACCAAAAACCTGCAAAGGATCTATAAATTAAGATTATTCATGAGCATAGGAAGAAGAGAAGATGTATTATTTTTATCTGTGTTTTTAGTTTTCTACTTTCTGTAAAAAAATATGTATTTTAAATATCTAAGTAACAACAAAATACAAAGCATCTAATTTTTAATAAATAATGAAATACTATTAAAAAATATAAGTTCAATCTCTATGATCCCTCTTATTTTTTCCTCAAGTGTGAAAATATTTCTTGGATTTTAGAGAAATAAAACTTGTTCTCTTACTTTTAGATTACTTTCTGAGTACATATAACAATGATTTTTTAAAAATCAAGCTATGATAAAATTCCATGATGGAACAATAATAAAAATAATGATTATGATGGCTGTTGTTTTTAAAGTACTTAATATACAAGTATTCCTCTTCTGTTATGGAAGGTTAAGAGGAGAGTAAACTATTTCTTTTTCCCTTTTTAATTTATTTTTTTAATTTCCAAAATTATGGGGGTACAAATACTTTGGTTATGTATATTGCCTTTGCGCTGCCCGAGTCAGAGCTACTGACCCCCAGACAGTGCGCACCACACCCACTGGGTGTGAATTTACCATCCCCTCCTCTCCCTCCCACCTACTCCACATCCAGTGAATGTTACTTCCATATGTGCACGTAAGTGTTGATCAGTTAGTACCAATTTAGTGGCGAGTACATGTGGTGCTTGTTTTTCCATTCTTGTGATACTTCACTTAGTAGAATGGGCTCCAGCTCCATCCAAGACAATACAAGAGGTACTAAGTCACCATTGTTTTTTGTGGTTGAATAGAACTCCGTGGCATACATACACCACATTTTATTAATCCACTCATTTATTGATGGGCACTTGGGTTGTTTCCACATCTTCGCAGTATTAGTCGTGCTCCTATAAACATTTGACTGCGGAATGTCTTTATAAAGTGTCTGTTTTTCCTGTGGGTAAAACCCCGTAGTGGGATTGCTGGATCAAATGTGGTGGTTCTACTTTTTTTCATTCTTTGAGGTATCTCCATACTACTTTCCATAGAGGTTGTAATAGTTTGCAGTCCCACCAGCAGTGTATGAGTGTTCCTATCTCTCTGCATCCACACCAACATTTGTTGTTTTGGGACTTCTTAATAAAAACTATTTTCCCTGGAGTTAAGTGATACCTCATTGTGGTTTTGATTTACATTTCCCTGATGATTAGAGATGTTGAGCACTTTTTCATATGTTTGTTGGCTATTAGTCTGTCTTCTTTTGAAAAGTTTCTGTTCATGTCCTTTGCCCATTTTTTATGGGGTTGTTTGATTTTTTCTTGCTGATTTTCTAGTTATCAGCCCTTTACAGATGTGTAGCCTGCACATATTTTTTCCCATTCTGTAGGTTGTCTGTTTGCTGTAATGTTTCCTTGGCTGTGCAAAAGCTTTTTAATTTGATCAGGTCTCGTTTATTTATTTTTGTTGTTACTGTCATTGCTTTGGAGTCTTCTTCATAAATTCTATGGCTAGGCCAATGCCCATATGAGTGTTTCTACCATGTCTCAGAAAGCAAGAAGAGGGCTATTTGTTATGTCTATCTAGGTTGCCTTACTCATTTATTTTACCTACCTGTAAGACAATTTGGGTTTTGATCCCTGGTCTGGGCTGTTGTTGTATTCTCTAGTTGCAGCATAGCCAGAATATAGTACAGGTAATGGGTCAATATTGACCTATCATCAAAGATGCAAGGATGTAATTTCTTCCACTTCTTATTTAAACTCATTTCTTTTAGGTCTTCAATACTTAATTATCTGAATGAATAAAGTTTGGGTTTTAAATATTTCTTAAAATAGGCCAGGCATGGTGGCTCATGCCTGTAATCCTAGCACTCTGGGAGGCTGAGGCGGGAGGATTGTTTGAGCTCAGGAGTTTGAGACCAGCCTGAGCAAGAGTGAGACCCCGTCTCTACTAAAAATGAAAGAAATTAGCTGGGCCTGGTGGTTCATGCCTGTAGTCCCAGCTACTCAGGAGGCAGAAGAATTGCTTGAGCCTAGGAGTTTGAGGTTGCTGTGAGCTAGGCTGAAGCCACGGCACTCTAGCCCATGTAACAGAGTGGGACTCTGTCTCGGAAAAAAAATAAAGAAAGAAAGAAATTGATGGTGAGAAGGAGGTCAGATTTTAAAATCTCTCCTCCTCTCTTCCGGTGTGTTTGTCACCAAGAAGTGTGCTTTTATGTAACAATATTTTAGGAAGCAGACCATGGCTACAGTTCATATTATTTCTTGTTCAAAATTTAGTTATTTCTGTAGTGGAAATAGAGCTGGCTATTTGGGATATGTGAAAAGCAGTGCTGGCATATTTTATGTAGGATAACCTTGCTTGATAACTATTTTAAAAGCAAATTAATACTCCATAGTGATATCCTTCAAAGCAGCATTTTCCTAACTTGATATCTTTCCTTAAAAGCTTTCAAATCCCTTCTTTTAACACATTTCTTTCCTTTTTTCTTTTCTCTCCCTTTACTTTTGAATACCATATTTATTTTCTTGAAGAATTAAATTTTTTTATAAAAATATATTTAATAACAGTGGGAAGAATCAAAGATAGTATTAATAATAGTTTTTAATTTATGCTTTCTAGATGTCTTCTGTAGTACTTTGAATCCTCTATTTCCTGTGTCCCATGGTACTTCAGAGATACTGCAAAAAAATATGGACTTCAACACTGAGATAGCTCTCCCTCTCTGTTCATTGCCACTCTGCTGCTTCTTGGCTTTATGAACTTGGACTAATCCCTGCATTCATTCATTTACATTCATAAATGCAAATACTTATTGGGTACCTGCCATGTACCAAGCACTAATTTAGACAAAGGATAGTGCAACAAATTAAAATAGATACATACACGTATGACAGACAGGTTAAAAAATAGCCATGCCTTTATGAAGCTCTCATTCCTATGAAGTAGCCAGAAAATTACCAAGATATAAGTGAATACATAATTAAATAGTGATAAGTACCAAGAGAAAAATAGAGAAAGAATCCAGGGAGTATTGAAGCCTGGATAATGCCTGCTGTCTCATATAAAGCCCCCACAGAAGCCCTTCTAAAGAAAGTAAGGAGCAGCCCGGAGACCAGCGGCAAGGGTAGGTGGATTTGCCGTTTCCCCTCCCCTGCATTTGGGACTGCTGGTGGGCTCCCCAGCTGGTGGAGAGACCTGCGGACACCAGCCCAGAGATGGCCGCCACCAGCTAGCGGTGAGCCTGCAGCGGACGCGGCACCAGGCTCCCAACTCCCTCCGGACACCTCCGTGTGCACAGACGCGAGCCACTCGGCAGGCGCCATATTACCTCCTCTTCCCCTCCAGCGACCCTACCCGCGGCTGCCCAGAGAGACAATACAGCCACCAGCCAGAGGCAATTCCAGGGAACGGGACCTTCCCTTTTGGGACCCTACAGCTGACTAAGGGGAACTCATACTGTGAGCTCCTTACCCGCCAGCCCTCCCAGGTGCTGTTGGCACGGAGTTCCCAGGAGAACGGTGCCGACTCAGAGGCTGAGAGACATAGACACGGCTTTGGCTCCCTGTGGGTGAATTGGGACCAGAACTCCTCTCCCTGGTGGAAATACAGTTTGAACTCTGGGACCGAGAGGTCGGACCTGCAGCCCAGATCCCGTGCACCGAGTTCTAGCATTGCCTGGGCACAGAAGGGATATTTGTGAACAGCCTACTGAGGTGTGTGTGCCTTCAGGGGCAGATCAGCATCCTAGAGGGCAACCCTCCTCCCAAAAGGAGGCCATACGCCCAGCCCAGGTGGCGTTCCTGTGCAGGGAACCTCCCTGCCGGCATCACAGTCAGGGGAGGCCTGGTGGCCTGTGGTCTGGGCTGCTGGCAGAGGCCCAGGAGTAGCTGCGGAGTTGGGGAGGGTGGAAGAAGTGAGGCCC